CTATAAAACCTCATGAGAGCCAAAGTGGGTAGAAACGAGCCATTAAGTGATGATTCACAGTGGTGTTTAATTTATTTAACGCATGTTTTGTGTTCTCAGAGCCTTTCTTATTATTATATTGTGTTGCATATTTTGGGTATATTGAATTGAAGGCTGTGGCGATATTGCATATTGTACTAATTTTCGTTAGTACAGTTAGGTGTTGTTATGTATATTTAGTGATGATTGCTTTCTACCGTGTTTCCCCGAAAATAAGACACTGTCTTATATTGTTTTTGCCCCCAAACAACACACTAGGTCTTATTTTCAGGGGATGTCTTTTTTTTTTTTTATGTGCCGACTTACTGCGGTCTTTCCTCCTTAAACTGACATAAACTGACATTTTCCAGCCCGATTTTTTTCCAATGCCTTTGTTTGGCATGATGGTTACATATACATCCAAAGAGCACCAGACAAAGATTTAAAACGCCTATTACTGTTTGTTTTTTTTGAAAAAATTAAAGACGAATGACATTCATGTGATAAGAACAACTTGAAAAAATATGTGTCACAAATCTCTTGTCAGCGAAGTACGGGAAATGGAGGCTACAGGGCAGGGGCTGACTGGCAACTTTTAGCCCAGGAGGCAAGTACAACCCAGAGGCCCATGGTGCGGCAACTTGACCCCCCCTCCCGCTTTGCCTCTTCCCCCGCCTTCTCCCCGCCCGTCTGCCACTTTTGCCATCCATGTAACAGTAGTGTGAATGTATTTATCGGTTTAGGAAATGTAAAGCACACTGGTAGTGGAGGGATGCCACGTCAGGGCTGTGCGCGTGCATGACTGCTGCGACCCTGGTAGTTCTGCCACTAACTCAGAAATACATTGTACAGCATTGCAGAATGGCATTGGCTTTAGAGAACTACAATTCCCAGCAATACATTACACAACAATGCAGAATACCATCAGCTATAGCGGACTATAAATCCCAGCAATAATGACTACCATCAGCTATAGAGGACTACAAATCCCAGCAATACATTGCACAGCGCAATGCAGAATAATATGAAGCTACATACTCTGTTGCTCTGGGTTCTCCACCTGATGTCTAAAGGGTCTCAGGTGGGCTATGCGGGCTCTCACCTGGGGTCCAGAGAGTTTCATGGGTGCGTGTGTGTGCAGCAGAGGTGGTTCCCTAATTAGGCTCTCAGGTGGCCAATGCGGACCGCCAGGTGGTCAGTGGATGCGGAGGGCGGGCGGCTGGCCGGGTGCAGGTGGCAGCGGCGGTTCACGATGGCATCAGAGAGGCCCGGGGGGCAATTGCCACTCTGCCCCCCGGCCCAGTCCGCCCCTGCTACAGGGGACACAGGCTCAGCGGCTCTCTTCAGAGGAACAGATTTGCCCAGTGCCATTGCAGACCTGTCATAGGTGTGACCTCAACTACTACAAGGAAAATGTGACAAGCTGCTCCACCGGTAACTAGTATGTGGTGTGATCTAAACTAACTTGCGCTAATGGAATTAATAAAAGTGCGTAAAAAAGGTTTACAATTTAAAATTGATATTAAGATTAATATGACCATAGGGTTACAATTCCATAAAAATTCTAAGACCAAAGGGTAGGGGGAAAAGCTGCTGAACTCAGGCTAAAAGCCTCCAGAATTATAATGTAACGAAATGTACAGCGCTAAATACCCTTCAGGAAATTCAATAACGATAAGGATCAGAGTGATGTCACCTCTGTGTCACACAATCATGAAAAAGTGTGTGTATATAATAAATTATTGTGTAACAAGTTATAACAGTTGTCATAAAAACGTGTCTTAAAAATATCTTATTATATGAATAAATAGAAATCTACAAAAAACATGTGTCATATATGTGGAAAATAAAAATCATCTCATTATAAACCAGTCTGTGTTGTTTTCTTCTGAAAAATATTAAATAATGCGAACTTATAACAATTTTTTTGGGAAATGTACTTAAAGTTTTTTTGACTTTCTTAGAGTCTAAAGGATCTTCAGGATAAATTGTACTCTTATACTTACCGGCCCCCCATCGGGGTTCCTGATGTAGCCATAAGCAATGGTTTTGTTAATGGCAAAACCAAAGTCAGCTCTACGAATGTGCCCTACCGCCACACCATTCCTCCATATTGCTTCCAGACCAAACAGTGGAACTTTCCTGTAGAGAAAAATGATACCAGTTAGGAAGAACTCTGTTAAACACTATGCCACATAGCATATAGATATTATAACTGTATAAAAAAACTACAACAACCTCTATAACATGACTTCTAATTATACTGGTTTCTACATCACTTTACCTGCCAGGTGCATGTAGATGTGCACAGCTTTGACTTTTATGAACGTCGCTATTTCTCAACATGTCATAATGGAACAACTCTGAACCAATAAAAGAAAACCTCAACGCTTAAGATGCAAAGGGCGCTTTGGCAGAACTTCTGCAGGAAATATAACATCACTCAGCAGGATGTATTAGTTGGTTGAGCACAGACCCATTTGTACAGGTGCCATGTGCCGGAGGCTTTGCATTTAATATTATTATATGATGTCATATTAACCCCTTGCAAGGAAAGGTGGTAACCAATTAAAATGTATTGATTTTAGCTACTACTAAATAATAATAATAATACTATTATTATTAATAAAGTACTTTTTAATTAGTGCAAATACCTTACACATACCTGCATACTGCCTTTGCATAGTCAACAAAGCACATAAAACAGAAAATGTAATTTTAACTACCATCTGGTGGTATTGCAGAGACCCCATGATCCACTGCACTCTTTATTTATGTGAGAACATGTTAGAAAGGAAATGCCATTTCTGAATTGTTTTTGAAGGCAAAGGCTCTAGAACCACCATCCACATATCCCTGTCTTGCTTTTTGCAAGATGTCAGAGACGCCCACTTTGATCTATGTTGAATGTCAAATGTTCCCATCTTGTTGTATATGAAGTCCAATGGTGCCCTTGGTATTGTTCTGTGTTAGATGTCCATTAAAGCCCATGGTTACCCATTGTGCTGCCACAGCAGCCTGTTGGTTTTTGTGCCCTTGGTATGTTGCCCTGTTCCCCTTCCTGATGGGTGCTAATTAGCAGAGACTCCAGCAAGACACTCCCTGCTTCTCTCTGCTGTACAGTTAGGTTTCACTTTTCACCTCAGAGACAGGGCTTAGGAATGACTTTGGCTTCCACAGCTTCAAAAGACTGGAAAAAAAACATCCTCTACATTGCAGTTATCTGAAGTAAAGCTACATTGGATTCAACTTTGGTGTCTTAAAGAGTTCAGCTGGCTGTGGATTCTGCCAAGTCAGCAAGTGACTATACTGTACACACAGACTAGCTCTAAGAGGTATGTCATTTCATATATCACCATTTGAAAAAGAACACCCATCCTGCTTCTTTGTAAGCACTAACCTGACCTAGCCTTTGTTGATTAAAGGGACAATATTTGGAGAGGCTTTTCTTCAACATCAGCCACAACTGGATTTTCATTTTTTTTAAATATAAAATCTGGTCAACACATATGTCATTTTACTTTCCAAGCTTTAAGCTGGCCACCTGTAACAACCTGATTGCACTTTTAGATTTACCTGATCTCCTTTAGATTTACCAGCAACTATTTAGTGTGAAGTCCAACCCTATATTCAATTAATCACTCAATTTGTAATATCTTTTAAACACATATTGTGCCCTTCCATACTTTTAATGCATGGACATAAACTTTTTGTTAGTGTTGAGGCACGGAATGCTTTAGAAGAATTAAGGCCTTACTAAGGTTGAGAACCACTGCTCTAAATGATGGCATTTGGGGGGCGTGGCTTGGCGCATGGAGCGGTGAGACGTGT